TTTCAATGACAGGATTTGGCAATGTGTCATATTAGCTTCCTTTGGGTCTTATTAGTTAATGCGTTCAACCAAAAAGTCCTACTTCTTTTGCCATAACCTTTGAACTTTCTGTTGCATAATAATAACTGAGGGTTAATATGAAATATGATTGTTTTGACAAAGTCTCTGCATCCAGAAGAAACAGCACATCCAGCTTCATAATTGTTCTTTTGTTTTGAGAAGAAGGCTTGACTGAAAACAACATTTATCAGACGTCAATCCCTCAGTCTGAGGTTTTTATTTCTTCCATCGTTGAACTCAAGACCGATCATCCGCACTGATATATTAGCGAATGTCCTCACGTCAACAAGCGGGCATTGCAAAACCGAATTAGCCATTAACTTTCCTTCCCGTATGTGGGTAAACTCGGCGGCTACATCAAGAGCATCCCTCGACACTGAAGCTAACATACCTGTGAAAGCTAAACACCAGCCGCATTGACTCAAGGTGTGGGCCTATAGTCGTACGTGACCACAGCTGTGGACCCAGTCTCGGGCCGGGGCCAAGGCACGGGGGCCCAGGGAGCAGCTGGGAGTGTTTGCCGGGTGACTGGTCCATGCTGAGACTATGTTTGCTCAGCTCCAAGTTCAAACAACATCCACACAGGCCATTGAGGCACGCTCCGGACACGGCTTTTGTGAAGGAGAGTGGAAAGGTTTAGTGCTGAGGCCGACGCTAAGAAAACCACAAGAGCCAAGTTCATTGAGAAATCGAGGAGAAATGTCAATAATGCACCTGATAGGTTCGGCCTCGAGGTCCACGGAGGTCTTGATAATGCTGAGGCAATCGGAGCATGCAGGAATCAGAACAATGACAAACCTGCGTGCTTGGAAATGGCAAAAAACAATGAACTTTGCTTTAACCAAAAAGCAAATATTCACAAGGATTAGCAAACAGAAACAGTTTTAACAATAGGAGGTTACTGGAAGAATCGTGAGAAATAATAATGCATTCATTTAAGACCAGGCTCCGTGGTCAAGGAGATAAGACAGAAAGACGAGTTGGTCAGAGCCTTTCGGGGGGACTTTGTCCCGAATTGGTTAAATGTATTCATGAAATTGCTTTTCTTATCTTATCGTCTTATCGACCTGGAAACCAACATTCCATCCGTCTTGACAAAGAGGATTTGAATCAAAAAAGAACATTAAGAAACAGTAAGGAACCTGCTGCCTTTAGCAGCGGAAACTGGGGAGGTTCATTTGTTAGCCTTTAGCATTCTTCATTAGCCTTTAGCATTCTTCATTAGCCTTTAGCATTCTTCATTAGCCTTTAGTATTCTTCATTAGCCTTTGGCATTCTTCATTAGCCTTTAGCATTCTTCATTAGCCTTTGGCATTCTTCATTAGCCTTTAGTATTCTTCATTGGCCTTTAGCATTCTTCATTAGCCTTTAGTATTCTTCATTAGCCTTTAGCATTCTTCATTAGCCTTTAGCATTCTTCATTAGCCTTTAGTATTCTTCATTAGCCTTTAGTATTCTTCATTAGCCTTTATCATTCTTCATTAGCCTTTAGCATTCTTCATTAGCCTTTAGCATTCTTCATTAGCCTTTAGTATTCTTCATTAGCCTTTAGTATTCTTCATTAGCCTTTATCATTCTTCATTAGCCTTTAGCATTCTTCATTAGCCTTTAGCATTCTTCATTAGCCTTTAGCATTCTTCATTAGCCTTTAGCATTCTTCATTAGCCTTTAGCATTCTTCATTAGCCTTTAGCATAGGAAACTGAAGACGTTCCTCTTTTATAATGGATCAGGTGAAAATCCACCGGAGGAATGCTAACTTTTTGAAAAATACTATTTTTTTTTTTAGCATTTTACTTTGGACCAGAGCAGAGAAAATGGTCTGTCCCCAGCGGCTGCTCCACCTTGTGACCCGTCCTGCTCCACCCAGAGGCTACTCCACCTCTGCTGCTGTGACCTGAAGGGCTGTGGCTGATTCATACTGTTGTTAGCTTTTTAGAATGATACATTTTATTTGATCTATTACTACTGGACACCTGAATTTCTCCTACAGGGAGAAATTCTATCTATCTAAATTCTATCTATCTATCTATCTATCTATCTGTCTGTCTGTCTGTCTGTCTGTCTGTCTGTCTGTCTGTCTGTCTGTCTGTTTGTCTCTGTCTGTATGTCTTTCTCTGTCTGTCTGTCTGTCTGTCTGTCTGTCGGCCTGTCTGTCTGTCTGTCTTTCTGTCGGCCTGTCTGTCTGTCTGTCTGTCGGCCTGTCTGTCTGTCTGTCTGTCGGCCTGTCTGTCTGTCTGTCTGTCTGTTTGTCTCTGTCTGTCTGTCTGTCTGTCTGTCTGTTTGTCTCTGTCTGTCTGTCTGTCTGTCTGTTTGTCTCTGTCTGTCTGTCTGTTTGTCTCTGTCTGTCTGTCTGTCTGTTTGTCTGTCTCTGTCTGTCTGTCTGTTTGTCTGTCTCTGTCTGTCTGTCTGTCTGTTTGTCTGTCTCTGTCTGTCTGTCTGTTTGTCTGTCTCTGTCTGTCTGTCTGTCTGTCTGTTTGTCTCTGTCTGTCTGTCTGTCTGTTTGTCTCTGTCTGTCTGTCTGTCTGTTTGTCTCTGTCTGTCTGTCTCTGTCTGTCTGTCTGTCTGTCTGTCTGTTTGTCTCTGTCTGTCTGTCTGTCTGTCTGTCTGTCTGTCTGTCTGTCTGTCTATCTGTCTGTTTGTCTCTGTCTGTCTGTTTGTCTCTGTCTGTCTGTCTGTCTGTTTGTCTCTGTCTGACAAATGCCCAAAAATATAACAATTGTAAACCGCTTTGTGACTCTAGTCTGTGGTATATAAATAAAGATTACTTACTTACTATGTATCTATCTTTAGCCTTTAGCACCGAGTACGTTCCTCTTTTAGCCACCTTTATTAGGACACCGGGAACGCTCTTTTACTAGCCCTGAGAAGAAGTGCGTTAGACGATCTGTAGTCAGTCCAATGTCATTATAATGTGTTTAATGTATATATTATTAGTAGGGCTGTCAAACGATATTTTTTTTTAATGGAGTTAATTACAGCTTAAAAATTAATTAATCGCATTTCAAACTATTGGCAAAATTATGCCATATTTTTCTGTAAATTGTTGTTTGAATGGAAAGATAAATGACAGCTTAGTGAACATATGTACTGTATTTGTTTGTTATGACAATAAATCCATATAAAATGGCATTAACATTATTAACATTCTGTCTTTCTGTTTAGACTCAGACCAAAACCATTGTTTGTTACAGATGAGGGACATTTCAAAATAGTCTGAAATGCAGAATGTCATTAAATCTGTTTGATTTGCTCACAACATTACTTCTTTTGGCACAACTAACATGTCGATGCACAGATTATTCAGGCGCTTGTTTATTTATTTTATCTCCTGAAACCAGAGAAAAGAACATGAGACAAAGACAAGCTGCAGCTACGTCATAATAATAATGTCATAGAAATACACTATACACAGAAAGTCACAAAGTTATGGAGACCAAAAATGTAGATATGCCGAGTAATTACGCTTTCAAAACCAAACGCCGACAATTTGACTGCCCTGGGAGCTCTGGGAAGCACTGCGCCCGATCTCTCCATGTTCTCAGCGTCGGATAAAAAGTGTCAGAGCCGTTTATCTTCAGCCTTTTGTCAGTTTGTGGTGGTTTGAACAGAGGGATCATGTCTGAGGAGAGAACGGTGGTTTTCCTGTTTTGGCGGACGGCGTGTTATTCTCTCGTAGCATCGCGACTTTTAAAACCATGCGTGTAACTCGTAAAAGGCCGTGTTGTGGGTCCGGGTCCGTCTTCCCGTGACAGTTTTTGGCAGATTGACGGCAGCGCTGGTCTCCAAACTGCGGTGTAGAGGCGTCGCTAAAGCCGCTGCCTTCTCATGCGAGATCAGGCTCAGGGCGGAGACTGGAGACGAGCGCGGATCTCGACGCAACACACACTGAGTTTATGAGACGCTACAGACGCATTACTGTCCGATGTTTCACTCATGTACTGCTGACATGCGAGGGTTTGTGTTTGAACCATGAACTAGAAAACATGTTATGAACAACAGCAAGCAATGGATTCAAGAAACGTTTTTTAAAGAGCCCTGACTTTACCGACAACATTACCCCTAGCTCAATTCTAATGCACAACCTCAATGCTAATCTACTACCCCGATGCTAACTGACTAGCTCATTGCTAACTTCTAACTCACTGGCTCATTGCTAACCTGAGAGCTCAATGAAGCCCAATAGGGAAGTGCTCGTGATGAAGTGGGGTTAGTGGGGCAGTGATGGGGCAGTACTCTCAGACACAGCTGGTCTTTGTGGTGAGCTGACCCTCGCAGGGGCCTCGCAGACACAAAGAATGTTTGGGATCCATTACCGCGCCACACACACCGCTCGGTCGCCTGTTTAACTGCACTAAACAGAGATCGCACGTGGGTCAGAGCGGCTCACCTGACGCTCAGCTTCGGACTCGAATCTCTTGGTTTCATTTTTAACATTTCACTCTTCGTTAAGGAAGTACAACATGTAAATACTCAACATAAACGTCTCTTCTCTCAGTCTACGTCTTTGTTATGCTGAAGCTAGAGATTTTATGCTAGCTTCTTTATTATGCTAAAGCTAGAGATTTTATACTAGCTTCTTTATTATGCTAAAGATAGAGATTTTATACTAGCTTCTTTATTATGCTAAAGCTAGAGATTTTATACTAGCTTCTTTATTATGCTAACACCATAGATCAGAGGCTATTTTGAATACGCAACACATTCACGGTATACTGACAGCTGTGTCCCCTTAAAACACACACATTTGTTTTATACATTCAGTATCTTTAATTAAAACAAAATTAGCAAGGCAGAGGGCCATATGACATGTCACAGAGGGCCGCATTTGGCTCCTGGGCCTTAGTTTGGACATTAAACCCGACGAAAATAGAGGCAAAGCAACAGGCAGATTCGGCGGTGGAAGTGGAATACGTAAGCCTCAGTCGAGTTACGGAGCTCATGGAGCAGCAGAGGGTCATGTTCAGGGAATTAATTCAACAGCAGCAGGAAAACTTCAAAGGATTTATAAAACTCATCATGGAATCAACAAACACCCGCATGGATTTACAGACTAAGGACATTCAAGAACTAAAAACAAGCCTGCAGTTCACGCAAGGTGAGGTGGACACTTTAAAAGAACATAATCTGAAACTCACGGAGCGCACAAACACTTTACAAACGGATTTTTACAAAGTATGTGACAATTTACACATCATCACGGACAAACTGGAGTATCTGGAGGGACAGAGCCGCAGAAACAACCTGGTATTTGAGGGAGTGTTGGAGTCGCCTGGGGAGACCTGGGCAGACGCCGAGGAAAAAGTAAAAGAAATACTGAAGGAGAAGTTACAGCTAAATCACGTGGTCGAGGTGGAGAGGGCTCACCGCGTAGGGAAACCCGGCGGCGGGAGAGACTGGCCGAGACCCATCATCGCCAGACTACTGCGGTGGAAGGATCGCGAGGAAATCTTGCAGCGCGCTAAACGACTCAAAGGAACAAAAATCTTGATTAACGAGGACGAATCAATAAAAAGAAAACGTAAAGAACTGATGCCGGAGCTGAGAGCTGCACGAGAAAGGGGGGAGATGGCCTTCTTGAGATATGATAAACTTATTATACGTCCACGCAGCAGTACACCACATCCAGTATAAACACCGGGAAAAAACGTATGGATTTTGGTACGTAAAAACACATAATTTCACATGTCCACTAATACATATAGTTCTATAGGAAGTACCGACTTGGACTTTTCAATAAGGAGAATTGCTGAAGCAAACTCCCAGGATTTTACATTCTCACAATACGACCTACAGAACACTGAGCTCGACATCGACCCTGAAAATAACTTATTTTCTAGAGCTACCAACGACTGTCAATACTACACAGAGGATCTGTACAATAGTAAACTTAAGAACATTAAGGCATTCACTGAAATCCACTTCAATAGTCGAAGCCTCTATGCAAACTTTGACCACATCAAAAGCTTCTTAAAACAGTTTTCCACAGCATTCAGTGGCATTCTAATCACAGAAACATGGATTAATAATGACAGAGAATTTGAGTTTTCTATTGATGGTTATGAATGTATAAGTATGAACAGAAGGAAACAAGCATGGTGGGGGTGTAGCTATGTTTATAGACTCCAACTATAGTTATAAAGTAATGGGAAATAAGACAATGGTGGTGGATGATACACTTGAATGCCTTACTGTTGAAATTACAAGGCAAAAAAAGAAAAATATTATTGTGAGTTCTATTTACAGAACACCTGGCTCTGATATAGATGTTTTTTTCTAATTGGATGGCGGAGCACTTTTCAGGATTAAATCATAAAGTCATGTTTGTGGGGGGAGACCTCAACATCGATTTGTTAAACCCATATAAACATAAAAAATAAAAAGACGGACGAATTTATAAATACTTTATTTAGTATAGGTCTGTTTCCTCTAATAACCAAACCTAGTAGAATTACAACCCATAGTGCCACCTTGATTGATAACATTTTCTCAAATGAAATAGAAAGTGATACAGTCAGCGGGTTAATTATAAATGACATTAGTGATCACCTTCCAGTTTTTGTTATGTATAAAAATGGATATTCAAAAGATGAAGTATTACTTTAGAAGTATAGAACCAATACTTCTAAAACAAGTATTGGTTTAGAAGGGTAAAAACAGAGAAAACTATAGATGCATTTAAAAAGGAGCTTTTAGCTCAAGACTGGAGTGTTGTGTACAGAGAGAATGACACAAATATGGCTTATGATGAGTTTACGCGAGTATTTCAAAAAGTATACAACAAAAATTGCCCAATGAAGAAATACTGTAAAAACAGAAAGTGTAAAGAAACACCATGGATGTCTAAAGGTTTACTAAATGCTTGCAAGAAAAAAAATAATCTTTACAAAAACTTTATAAATAACCGAACAAAAGAAGCTGAGGATAAATATAAGAAATATAAAAATAAACTGACAGGTATCATTAGAAAATGTAAACAGGATTATTATAATACATTGTTAGATAGCAATAGGAATAATATTAAAGGTTTATGGAATATCTTAAATAGTATAATTAGAAATAAACCAAGAACAATTAATTATCCAAAATATTTCAAAGATGAGGATAACACGTTAAATAATATGAATGAAGTCGTCGAAACATTTAATAAATTCTTTGTAGATGTTGGACCAAACCTTGCTGCAAAAATTGCAAACGTTGAGAATTCTAATTGTGATCTGATAGAAGCAAATCCTATGTCCCTGTTCCTCAAACCTGTGGAGGAAAAGGAGATACTGGACATTGTTAAAGGGTGTAAAAATAAAACTTCGACCGATTACCATGACATGGATATGAAAACTTTAAAAACTGTTATTGAAAGTATCTCTAAGCCGTTAACATACATCTGTAACTTATCGTTGCAAACTGGACCATTTCCGGATAGTATGAAAGTAGCAAAAGTGATTCCTCTGTTCAAGGCAGGAGATAAACATCTCTTTACAAACTATAGGTCTGTTTCCCTTTTACCGCAATTCTCTAAAATCTTAGAAAAGGTTTTTAACTCTAGACTTGACAGCTTTATTGAAAAGTGTAATTTACTCTCGGACAATTAGTTTGGTTTTAGGAACAATCACTCAACCTCACACGCGCTCTTTGATATAACTGAAGAAATAACTAACGCTGTAGATAACAAGAAATATGCAATAGGGTTATTTATTGACCTGAGTAAAGTGTTTGATACAATAAACTATGATATATTAATTAATAAACTAGAACATTATGGGATTAGGGGGGTAGCTCCTACAGTGGGTTACCAGTTACTTAAAAAATAGAAAACAATGTGTGAAAATCGGTGATTATCAGTCGATTTGTCGACAAATTGTCTGTGGTTCCATTCTGGGCCCAAAATTGTTTAATATGTATATTAATGATATTTGTAAAACATCTGAAGTACTTAAATTTATCTTGTTTGCTGACGATACAAATATTTTTGCATCAGGAGACGACTTGCAACAGCTGTGTCGGATTGTTAACTTGGAACTCAAGAGTGTCAATAAGTTGTTCAAACAAAATAAATTATCTCTAAACCTGAGTAAAAGCAAAATGATGATATTTGGTAACTAATTGCAATGCTCAGGAAGCAATTCAGATAGATGGTGTTGTTATCGAGCAAGTGCATGAAATCAAATTCCTTGGTGTGATTATAGATGACAGAATTACTTGGAAATCCCACATTAAATATATATCTACGAACATTTCTAGAAGCATTTCAGTAATAGCAAAAGCAAAGCACATTTTAAACATCAAAGCTCTACATACCTTATACTGTTCTCTGATTTTGCCCTACTTATATTATTGTACTGTGGTTTGGGGTAGTACTTATAAAAACACAGTTAAACCAATAATATTTTTGCAAAAAAGAGCTATCCGAGTAATTCATAAAGTTGGATTTTTGGATCACACAAACTCATTATTTTTGAAATCAAAGATCATGAAGTTTTGTGACATTGTTGAGTTCCAAACTGTACAGATGTTATTCAAAGCAAGGTATAAACTGTTACCAAACCAATTACAAAGAAGGTTCCAAGAACGTCCCGGTCGTTATGAATTATGTGATGAATTAAACTTTAGGATTCAGAAACATAGCACAACTTTGAAAAGTTTTAGTCCAACAGTTAATGGTGTACAATTGTGGAATAAACTGGAGATGGAATTGAAACGATGTCCAAACATCAACCTGTTCAAATATAAATACAAACTAAAGACTTTTGAAATATACAGACAAGAGGAAATGTGTTGCCACTAGGGGGAGCAGTAGGATCAATTATGTGTATTTTTCCTCTATATTCAAGGAAGAGTGTTGCTGCTTGGAACAGTTGTCCTTCTATTGCTAAAAATTCACAAATGGAGAATTAGGGTTGCCAGGTTATGGATCTGTTGAGGAATCCTCCCAACGGGCTCTAAACCTTGTCTTTTAATGCACCACTCAGCATAGGAACATATTCTACAAAATCAGCTGTTAGGGCAGCTGTGTGGGGGTTTGTTGAAGGGGAGTTACTGGCTCACTCTCTGGCTTTTTAATGCACCACACTGTGCAGGGCTTTCATCATACTTCACATGACTCAATTAAATAAATATATAATAATGATGATGATAATTAAACCCAAATTAAAATTATACTGAGAATGGTAATGACAACTGGAAAGTATCAAGATCTCAGATTATAATAATCTGTTCATGTACTTTTATACCATAAAAGTAACTTTGTAATCACGGGTAAAAATCTGCAAGCAAT